GTAACCGTTAGCGGGCGGCCGGTGGCAGGGCCCGATGGATATGGACCATGGCTTTCTTTAGCGGAAAAAGAAAATTAAAAAGAAGAACAATGTTTCCCTCCCAAGAAAACGCTGTCTGGAAAGGGGGCCGCCCGCCCAGCCCTGATTTTAGGATGAAAAACCCATCATCGTGAACTGCCTTGCTCACAATCACCGGATTTTCCAAAAAAAAAAGTTTAAAAAGGATAATAATAAATTTCTCGCTTGAACTCAGTGATGCGAAACGGCAGAAATTATTTCCCGTTCTCTTCCATTGGCCTCGAGTTCCGTCTTACGTCTCAAGATGTACGGACGTGCAACCGTTACACGTATACCTGTATGCTGGTGGGGAAAAGGAGACATTTTTTGGGGGGGGGCATATCCACATTCATACGTATGTGTGTGTCTTATCTACACTAATAAAAGAGAAACGTGGAAATTGGTGTCACTCCGCTACGCCCACCAGCCAATCAGGATGAGTATGCAAATGAACCCGACAAAGATGGCGGTTAATTTGCATACCCGGGTGTGGAGCGAAGAAGAGGCTTGGCTTCTCTGCTGCGGCCGGACCAAGGGCCTGGGTCCCAGGTGCCAGAGGAAAACCGGTGCCGGCAGCCAGAGGAAGGAAGTCCTCTTGCGTGAATCTTCATGCAACGGGCTTCTAGTCTATACTAATAAAAGGGTAATATGCTAATTAGGCCAGGAGACCGGCCGGGGGAGGGCAGTTGGGGGGCGAGCAGGCCGGCAGGCAGAATGGTTAGGGGCGATCGGGCGGGCAGGCGGGCAGGTGAGCGGTTAGGAGCCAGCGGTGCCGGATTGCGAGAGGGATGTCCGACTGCCGGTTTAGGCCCCGATCCCTGGGGGACATCCCTCCAAAGGGTCCCAGATTGGAGAGGGGTGCAGGCTGGGCTGAGGGACACCCCGGTCACCCGCTGTGCACGAATTTCATGCACCGGGCCCCTAGCGTGTGTGTGTGTGTGTGTGTGTGTGTGTGTGTGTGTGTGTATGGCATGCATGCACACACACACACACATAAATATGTCACCTACGTTTCCTTAGGTAACAGAATACTGATCTTGGAATCTGAAAAAATATAGATACACAGTGGGGCCTTGACTTACGAGCTTAATTCGTTCCGAGACCGAGCTCGTTAAGGAGTTCGTCAACTCAAATTACTCTTATCAACTCAATGCAAAAAAATCGGCGGAGACACAGCTGGTATCTCAAAAAACTCGTTAGCCGGGACACTCGTAAGTCAAGGCCCCACTGTATATTATTTGCAATGAATGGCTTCGGTGCAACTCTTATTTGGGGGACCAATTTTAAAAATGCAGATTTTTTTTTCCTGATTTCTCTTTTTTCCCTAGGAAGAAGGCATGGCTTGCAACCTTGGGCAGAGCGCGTGCGCGCGCCCCCTCCCCCAGCCCCCTCCCGCCAACCTTCTTCTTCTCCATCCACAGGGAGAAATGGACCAGGACCCGTCCACACCATCCCATCGCTGGCCACCGCCTCCCACAGCCCAGGGCAGGCAGGGGGAATCGTTCTCCATCACTCCCCGCCCCCACCCCCGCCCCCAGCCTGTGCGCACCCAGAAAAGGCAATGTGCTGGCAAGTGGGTCCCCGTCCCCCCACCCCACCCCACCCCTAACGCCTTAAGCTCGCGCGCTCCCACCCAAACTGCACAGCCCGCTCCCTCCTCGGGATAACCGGGTCTCCCCAAACTTTTATTTTTTCTTTCCTTTCCTCTCTCTTCCCTCCCCCCTCCTCCCCCATCTGCATCCGCTCCAATCAGGGTAAGTGCAGGCTCCCCAGAAGGAAGCGGGCTGGCGCCTCCCCTCCAAACCTCCCCACATTTAGAAAACAGGTCCCCGCGAGGCGCGTGGGATGGTGGATCCCTTTCCAAACGCATAAGCTAGGAGCCCAGGACACCCGTCCCCCCAACTGACCAAACAGAAAAGAAAAAGCCAAAAAAAAAAAAAAACCATGAAGAATCCACATCACCACCTGCTGGTTTCTGTTCGCAAGAGCAACCCCCGGTTCCACCGCGCCCCCCTCCCCCACGCAGCAACCCTCACCCCCCCGCCCCCCAGCTGAAGTTGGGTGCAAAGCACAGGTGGAGAAGGAGGGGGGGTGCCATCCGCGCGCGGCACCCCCAGACCCGGCCCAGCTACCGGGTCCCGGTCCAGACGCGCGCGCGCGCACGCGCATCCCTCGCCGGCGCGCGCGCGCGCGCGCTCGGCCAACCCAGGGCGCCCGGCGGGGGCCACCCCAGCGGCGAACCCCGGAGCCCCCCGCCCCTACCCCCCACCCCCGGCTACTGCCCGCACCCCCTCCCCCTGCGGGTCCCGAAATAGCCGCCTAGTGGCTCCGAAGAAGAAGGGGAGGCCCGCACCTGCGAGCCCGCGGAGAGGAAAGGGCCAGAGACAAGGAAAGCCGCAGCCAAAAAAAATACAAATAAAAAAATGCCACCGGGAAGGCGCTGGGGACGCCCCGACCCCCCCGACTCCAACCCCGGAGGTCCTTCGGGGCTCCTCGCCCCCCTGCAAGCGGGACATCTGTTCCCACGGTGGCCCGGGCCAGGCCCCGGGGCTGCGGGGGCTGCAGGCACCCCTACCCGCCCCCCCCCCAGGCCGCCCCCGCCGCTCCGGGAAGAAAGGGCGCTGTGTCTGGCGGCGAGCAGGCGCCGGGCCCAGAGCTGCGCGCTTCGCAGGGCCCCGAGCCGGGGGCGCAAACCGCGGGCGCCGGCTCGAGCTGCGCCCCCCCCCGCCCCCCATCCCGGCGCAGGGAACGCAGCTTACCGTCCCCGGCGGGGCGAGCAGGAGCTGGGGCCGGTGGGGGGCGAGCGCGCAGCCGACGGGGGCGTCCTGGAGACGGGGAAGCGAGCGAGTGCGCCCGGGGAGGCGGGCGGGCGGCTGGCGGCCTGGAGCGCGCGGGGGGAGGGGACCGCCCCGGGGTGGGGGCGCGGGCGGGATTTCGGCCCCTCCCCCCGGCCTCCTCCGGCCCCTGGACCCCCGCATCCTCCCGCAGCCCGGCGGCGCCTCCCAGCCGCACCCCCACCCCCAACGGCCCGGCGTCTCCGCGGGTCGGGCCGCGCGCGCGTGCGGGCGCAGACCCGGGGCGCCTGGGCCGCGGCCTGGGCGCGAGGGTGGAACGCGAGTTCACTTGCTTTTTTTTTTTTTTTTTTTTTTTTTTGCTTTTTTTTTTTTTTTTTTTAACGTCTCCCAGGCCCTCGCCCCCTCCCCCCCTCCCCCTCTCTGCTCCTGGTCCGCAGGCTGCGGGCTGGTGGGAGCTCAGCTCTCAGTTTTTTGCGCTGGAGAGGGAGGGGGCGAGCCGAGCGGCGTGGAGAGGTGGGGGGGGGGGGGGGGGGGGGGAGGCGGTGATTAGAAGCGCGGGACAGCGCAGAGCTTTGGGATGCGGGTTTTTGGTGCCTTGGCCCAGACCAGAAAGGGGGGGGTCTGCACCCTGGAACCCACTCCCCAGCCCCCAGCCCCTCGCCGAGGGATGGAGACCGGCCGGCCGTGCGCGCCATGGGCACTGCGCCCGGGGACCCGGGCTCTCCTGAGACCCGGGCGCCGGTCCCCGCAGGTTCCAACTTTTGTGGGCAGCTCGGCTGGCGCTGCATGTCCCTCCGAGAAAGATGCAGGCCGGACCCAAAGGTTTTCCCAGGAAGGAAGCAAACCACTCGCAACATCCCCCCGCAACCCACCCACCCATCCACCCACCTCCGCCTCCTGCCTCCTGCCTCCCCCGTCACACACACACACGCAGACACACACACACACACACACACACACACATGCACGCACGCACGGGGAAAGGCGGGGGAGCAGGTGGCCCGCTCCCCAGCTTTGCAGAAACGGCGCTCAAGCCGCCGCGATTTCGTCTGCGCCCCGGGTCCCCGGCGCGGCCCGATCGCTCCCCGGCCCAACCCCGGGCCATCCCGGGGCCAACGCGGACCAGGTCCCCATCCATCCATCCATCCATCCATCCATCCATCCATCCATCACGCGCGCTATTTCGTCCATCACACGCGCCATCATCGCCTCCCCGGCCAGCGGAGGAGAGGGAGGAGGCGGGGGAGGGGGACGGCTCCGTGCAACCCCAGCCAAGCCTGTATTCCTTCCTCCTCTCGGGTGAACCCCCCGCCCCGTGTGCCCCCCCCAACTTCCCCCCCCCCCACAAAAGCACCCCGGGAGGTGAGAGCTGCGAGCTCCCTTCGAGCCCCGGCACCAACCGAAGCCCCCACGGCAGCTCACAGTTTGCACAAGTCGCGCAGCCTCGTGCAGCGCCAGCCCCGGGTTGCAGCGAGCTGGCGGCCGGCTCCGGGCTGCCCTCCTTCACTGCAGATGTTTGTTTTTTTTTTCCTCTTTCCTTCCCCTTCTCCGCTCCCCGCCACACGGTTCTTGTTTATTTGTATGTAAGACAGCGCTGCTGTGTAGCCACCTCGCACGGGGCTCGCCTGTCCAAAGGGGCTGGTGGCAGCCAAAGGCTCCCCGGAAATCGCGGCGGTCCCTCCCGCCCCCCCCCCCCGGCCCCCGATTTCTTTTTTTTTTAAAGTCCAAACAAACCAACAAACAAACAAAAAATCAAACCTCTCTGTGTGGGGCGCTGGGGGGCTGCGAGCTTTTGCATCACACTCGCCGGGCAGGCACCTACGTAAAGGGCCATGCTGCCTCCCACACCGACGAAATGCAGGGACAGATGGGAGAGCGTGCTGTCCACGTTTTTTTTTTTCTTTTCAGAATAAAAGACCCAAAAGCAAAAAAAAATGTCTGATGGATTCAAGAGCGCAAACGTTTTGTTAAGGTCGCCGCGGGCTCACCCGCCTTCGGCTGGGCAGCGCGTACCCAAAAGGAAAAAGAAGAAAAAAAAAAAAAAAAAAGTCTCCATGTTCCCGAGGCTTAGAAAGATAAATAACCCAGAGGCGCACGTGAAAGAAAAAAAGAATTTAAAATAAAAATAAAAGAGGGGGGAGGTCCTACCTGCGCGGTGGAGGGAGAAGCTACACGGGCGAAGCGGCGTTTTTACGCATCGAGCGGTTCCTAGGAGACCTCGGCGAGGGCGCGGGAGGTGCGCGCGGGGCGGGTGCAGTCGGCGCGGGCGGGCGGGCGCCCGGGAGCTCTCCAAACCCCAGCTTTTAGATCCGCGTCTCCGAAGGAATGCGGGGACCCCCGGCGCCCCCTTTCGCAGGACCGTCGCCCATGGTCTCGGGGGCCGGGCTGGCGGGCCGGGGAAAGGGCAGGCAGAGCGAGGTCTTGGAGAGCCCAGCAGCTCGGGGCGCGCAGGCGGCGGCGGCGGCGGCGGCGACGGAGGCCGGCCCGGGAGCGAGCCAGCCGGGTCCGCGAGGAAAGGGAGCGACGCGAGCGAGTGGCCGCGGAGCCCCGGTGCTCCCCGCGCGCGATTGGCCCAAACGGAATGGAATTCAGGGCGCCGGCAGCCAATCCAGGCCCGCGGTGGGCACGACCGCTGCCGAGGCCACGGCCGCACGCGCGCCCGTGCAAAGCGCAGCCCGACCGGGTGCAGGGTGCAGGGTGCAGGGTGCAGGGTGCAGGGTGCAGGCGGCTGCAGCTCAGAGATGCCCCGGGGCGCGCGCCCGTGCAAAGCGCAGCCCGACCGGGTGCAGGGTGCAGGGTGCAGGGTGCAGGGTGCAGGGTGCAGGCGGCTGCAGCTCAGAGATGCCCCGGGGCGCGCGCCCAGGGAGGAGGGTGGGGGGCCACCTGGCCAGAGGCTCCCGGATTCCCAATGCGCCCCGCAGACACCCTGCCCGCCCAACCCCGGGGGGAGGAAGGGAGAGAGAGAGAGAGAGAAACATCAATGAGGAGAGATCGCCATGCATCCGCTGCCTCCTGCGTGCCCCCCACTGGGGATGGAGCCCGCAGCAACCCGGGCCTGTGCCCTTGACGGGGAATCGAACCCGTGACCTCCCGGGTTCAGAGGCCGGCGCTCAAACCACTGAGCCACACCGGCCGGGCTTTTGCCAAGGTCTTTTAACTCTTTCGCCACTGACCTGGGAGGGCAGCGGTGAGCTGTATGTGATTATAGATGTGTTTTCCCGACGGTCTTAGGCGACCCCTGTGAAAGGGTCGTTCGACCCCCCCCCCCAAAGGGGTCACGACCCACAGGTTGAGAACCGCTGTTGTATTGGAAAGAGTGATATATATATTAGGGGGCAGGTTGGGGGGTTGGGGGGGGGAGGGCAGGGCCAGGGCCTGGAAGCCAAGTTGGAATAAAGATTTGCAAAGGTTGAGGGCCTCTCTCAGAGGCCAGGTGATGGATGGACGCACGGACAGAGGGACGGACGGACGGAGGGACGGACGGACACCGATGCCTTCTGCGCGTTTGCTCCCTCTTCCTTTTTTAACCTTTTCATCTTTTTTAAAAGTGTTATTTCGTCTTTTAAATTGGCTTTTATTGTTAAAAGTATTACAGATGCTCCCCCTTTTAAAAAATGTATTTTATTGATTTTTTTTTTTACAGAGAGGAATGGGGGGAGGGGATAGAGAGTCGGAAACATCGATGAGAGAGAAATATCTATCGGCTGCCTCCTGCACGCCCCCGACTGGGGATGTGCCCGCAACCCAGGTACATGCCCTTGGCTGGGAATCGAACCCGGGACCCTTGAGTCTGCAGGCCGACGCTCTATCCACTGAGCCACACCGGTTAGGACTATCACCCGTTGTTTTTTTAAAATTAAATGTTTATTGTTGGAAGTATTGCATATGCCCTCTTTTCCCCCCATGACCCCATCTAACCCACCCCAGGCCTTCCTCACCCCCTTGTCTGAGTCCACGGGTGATGCATATACACATACAAGTCCTTTGGTTGATCTCTTCCCACCCACCCACCCTCCCCCGCCTTCCCCCTGAGGTTCCACAGTCTGTTTCTTGCTTCTATGTCTCTGGGTCTATTTTGTTCACTAGAATCCACGTAGGAGTGAGGTCACGGGATGCTTGTCTTTCTCCGACTGGCTCATTTCGTTCAGCGCAATGCTCTCCAGGCCCCGCCTTGCTGTCTCCAAGGGTAAGCGATCCTACCTTTTTCAGGGCTGCGTAGTATTCCATGGTGTCGATGCACCACAGCTGTCCGCCTCTCCTTACACAGTCACGGTTCCGATCGGAAAGTTATTGGCGATGTTGCAACGATGGGGCCAGTGGTTGGGAAATATCCCTCTTGACCTTTGGGGTCAGGTGCCCACCGTTTCCCACCCCAAAATCAGCTGGCGCCAGCCACCTGATGGTTATTGTCGGGGTTGGGGAGAATTCATCGGCATGACCTGGGCAAGGACTGAAGTCCCTGGTGGGTAACACGACAGAGTTGTGGTTGGGAAGGCAGCTTCTAAAACCAGATCGCATGGGTTCAAGGACCGTGGGACTGTAGGCGGGCGTTTAGAGGCGTCCTCTCTGTTGCTGCATCTGTAAGGCGGAGAAAGGAAAATTAATCATCCCAGCGGGCGTGGCTCAGTGGTCGAGGGTCACCCTATGAACCAGGAGGTTAGGGTTCGATTCCCGGTCAAGGGCACATGCCCGGGTTGCGGGCTGGATCCCCAGTAGGGGGCGTACAGGAGGCGGCCGGTCCATGATTCCCATCATGGATGTTTTTCTCTCTCTCTCTCTCTTTCTCCCCCCCCCTCCCTTCCTCACTGAAATCAATCAATCCATATATATTAGAGGCCCGGTGCATGAAATTCATGCACGTGGGGGGGGGGGTGTCCCTCAGCCCGGCCTGCACCCTCTCCCATCTGGGACCCCTTGGGGGATGTCTGGAAACCTGCAGTCGGACATCCCTCTCGCCATCCGGAACCATTGGCTCCTAACTGCTCACCTGCCTGCCTGCCTGATTGCTCCTAACCACCTCTGCCTGCCGGCCTGATTGACCCTAACTGCTCTCCCCTGCCAGCCTGATTGACCCTAACTGTCCTCCCCTGCCGGCCTGATCGCCCCTAACTGCTCTCCCCTGCCGGCCTGATCGCCCCTAACTGTCCTCCCCTGCCGGCCTGATTGTCCCTCATTGCTCTCCCCTGCCGGCCTGATCGCCCCTAACTGCTCTCCCCTGCCGGCCTGATCGCCCCTCACTGCCCTCCCCTGCCGGCCTGATCGCCCCTCATTGCCCTCCCCTGCCGGCCTGATCGCCCCCAACTGCCCTCCCCTGCCGGCCTGGTCGCCCCTCACTGCCCTCCCATGCCGGCCTGGTCGCCCCTCACTGCCCTCCCATGCCGGCCTGGTCGCCCCCAACCGCCCTCCCCTGCCGGCCTGATCGCCCCCAACCGCCCTCCCCTGCCGGCCTGATCGCCCCTCACTGCCCTCCCCTGCCGGCCTGATCGCCCCTAACTGTCCTCCCCTGCCGGCCTGATCACCCCTAACCACCTCTGCCCTGGCCCCCCGCCACCGTGGCTTTGTCCGGAAGGAGGACCGGACGACCGGAATATGTCTGGTCTATCGGCCTAATTAGCATATTACCCTTTTATCAGAATACACACACACACACACACACACACTCTGTGGCCAGATTATGATGACCACCTGACGTTTGTCGGCAAATTAGCTATAATTTTGCGCTGAAGTTGCTAGAGGGCCACGTCGTTTGCGGCCACGTTGTTTGTCACGACAGTAGAACTGATTTTTTTTTTTCTGAAGAAATGGGTAAACAACGCAATTTCACAGCCTTTGACCATGGGATATATCTTTGTAATCATATATATATTACAAAAATTAAGGCATAAAGGACAGAGATTGGGAGAGAGAAGGAAAAAATTATTTTTAATCAATTGTTGTGGATAAAGTAGGTCATTTATACATACATGAAGGCAGGGGGAAATAGCGAATGGGGCAGGGGGGGAGGGTGGAGAGTTCGAATCCCGCGGTCAAAGCTGAATGTTTGTGTGCGTGTGCGGGGAGGTGGGTTGGCTGGCGGATCGCTTTCCTGGGCTACATCGCCTCAGAGGGGGCCAGGCAAGGACATGCTCATTGCTGCCTGAATGATCTTATGGAGATTTTAAAAATAAAACGAAATACTTAAGCAGGTAGAGCAATTATTTTAAGAAAGCGTGAATGTCAAGTTCTGCGTAATCCTAATTACGTTATGCGAGGCGAGGGTCAGAAGAGAGAAAATTAAACACACCATTTCTTTCTCTCTCTTTTTTTTTTAAGCTTTTTTTTTTTCCTGATCTGTGTATTTGTTTTTTTTAAAAATATATATATATATTTTTAATGGATTTCAGAGGGAGGAAGAGAGAGGGAGAGAGAGATAGAAGCATCCACAATGAAAGAGAATTATTGATCGGCTGCCTCCGGCACGCCCCCCACTGGGGATGTGCCCGCAACCAAGGCCCATGCCCTCGGCCGGACTCGAACCCGGGACCCTTCGGTCCGCAGGCCGACGCTCTAGCCACTGAGCCACACCGGCCAGGGCTCGCCTCTAAACTCTTAGAACGAAACACCAGGATTCAGACCCAATAGGTCTTGATTTTTTTTTTTTTTCGAATCTGAGTTTGCAGAAGCCAGCGATGGGTTTCCAGCGTTTATCGCCCTTTTTATTTCACGCAATTCATTTTTAGAGGATTTCATTTGTGCTTTTTTTTTTTTTTTTTTGTCATTTCCCTCTTTTTTTAACGGAAGCTGGCGTTGAACCACCGCATCTCAAAATTCCCAAAAGGCGAGCCATCGGCCACCGTGGGCCGGTCTCGGGACTAGCACAGCGGACGCGACAGAGAATGGGGGGGGGGGGGGGGGGGCGGGAGGTGGGACTGCGTCCCTGATGACACAGGACGCCCTGCAGGCATTCGAACCGGCCCTGGCCGGTGTGGCTCAGTGGGTAGAGCCTCGGCCTGCAGACGGAAGGGTCCCGGGTTCGATTCCCGGACAAAGGTACAGGCCCGGATTGTGGGCTGGATCCCCAGTCGGGGGTGTGCAGGAGGAAGCCGGTCCATGATTCTCTCTCTCATCATGGATGTTTCTATACTCTCTCCCTTCCTCTCTGACATCAGTCCGATAAAATAAAAGGCTAATATGCACATTGTCCCGGTGGGAGTTCGACCGCTCGCTGTGACGTGCGCTGACCACCAGGGGGTGGCGGGGAACGAAGGAAGGCCCCGGCCAGCAGCCGAAAGGCCCCGGTCAGCCCTGATCGCTGGCCAGGCCTAGGGACCCTACCCGTGCACGAATTTCGTGCACCGGCCCTTTAGTAAAAAAAAAAAAAAATTTGAAGAAAAAGAAGAAAGAAACATTTAGGGAAAGGAGATTACTTTTTCTTTTATTTTCTTTTCTTTTTTTTTTAAGCTGCGCAAAGCCCTGGTTTTTTTTTCAACACCGGGTTTTCCCAGGGAAGGCAAATAACGGAGATCGGATATCTTTCTGCCGGTTTTAATGACAAGCCTGTTATTTCGTCAAGTGCGTGGTCACCCACCTCGCTGAG